AGATATATACATATATATATATATATTTATTTATAGGGAGAGAAGAAGATAATGTATACATATATATATATAGTTCCTATTCATTTAAAGTCCTTATGTATCTCTGTTTCAGATACTCGTTCGTCGTGATGCAATCGGTGTAAAGATATATATTACTTGCATGTATCCGTCGAATTAGCGTCAAGACGAGAATTTCGTTATACTTTCGATGATCGTTTTCGTGAAGTCAAGGATCAAGTCTTGAAATATTCTCCATTGATACGACGCCTCCTTTTCCTTCTCAGTTTAGGACATTCGACGTAATTCGAATACACATCGGAGTTACGAAGACAAAAGTAAAATAATTTAAACGCGTGGGATATATTATAGGAATCTCTTCTCCCCCATTAATTTAAATATTCTTCTTTGTCTACTTGTCACTAACGGGTTAGCGATGTCAGTTCGCGCACACCCATTTTTTTAATAATACACTTTCATGTGGTCATCATAATCAACGTTTTCACGTCTTCTTTTTCGCTAACTATGGATATTATAGGACAGTGCATGTACTTTACAATGAACAATGTGAATGTACATATATATGTATATATACAATATACAAGAATGCATCCGAAACTATCGCGCTTTTATTTCTTCTCAAATGGCGTTAAATTTCTCTCACAATCAGTGAAAATTCAAGTGAAATTCTATTTATTTGTAGATTGTAGTATTTTAATTTTTAACAGCGTGTGTTTTATATTTGTAAAATTAAATATTTAGTCAAATAAAAAAATTAATTAGAAAATGGAATTATTTCGAGAATCATCAATTTTATGATTTTGAAACACTCATTTTAAGATCAGATCGAAAAGACTCGATAGTTTCGTTACATTTTATACAGTCAAAATGACTATTTTCATCACTTTAATTATTTCGCTATTAGTTGCAAAAACTTTTGCAGAAATTTGACAAATCGTGCTGCGCAATCCCGCGTAATTTTTAGCACAATTTAACTTATTCACGGACACTGATTAAGTAGTATTAAGTATCGATAAGTATTACATTGAACGCTAGTCGCAAAAAGTTATCTCTTTCTTAGTCCCTTCATCGAGATTTTTTTTCGTCAAAAGAAAGTCCAAAGAATCATTCGGCGCTAAATAGAATTTAACATCGTTTTGATAGTCAGAAAATTAAAATAAAATCATTTTAAGATTATTTTAAGAATAAAAGCGAT